GGGTGCCTGGCCAGCCTGGGTGAGGGGCTGATGGCTGTTTGCAGCTGGTCACACCCCCTTCAGGGTGGGGGTCCCCACTGGGGTGCCTGGCCAGTCTGGATGAGGGGCTGAGGGCCGTTTTCAGGCTGGCCAAGTCCACAGGCAACTGAAGCTCCCAGCCTCTCCTGTTTTTCTTTTTTTTTAATTCTGGGATTTATTTACCTTCTATAATTGAAACTTTATTGCCGTCACTGGAGCTGAGAGCCGGTGGCCACGGCCTGCTGAAAGCAGGTATATGGGGTTTGTTTATCTTCTATAATTGAAACTTTGATGCAGTCACTGGAGCTCAGAGCTGGCTCCTGCTCGCTCCGTGGCCAGGGCTGGCTGAAAGCAGGTATCTGGGGTTTGTTTAGCTTCTATAATTGCAACTTTGTTGCTTAGAGTGGAGCTCAGAGCCGGGCCGCGGCAGGCGGGGAACCTTGGAGCAAGCAAGCCTCCTGCTCGCTTCAGCTGCGTGGCTGCCGGCCGCCATCTTGGTTGGATTAATTTGCATATCATGCTGATCAGCCAATGGGAAACATAGCGGAGGTATGGTCAATTACCATGTTTGTCTATTATTAGATTAGACTAGAGGTCTAGTGCACGAAATTTGTGCACGGGGGTGGGGGTGTCCCTCAGCCCAGCCTGCACTCTCTCCAATCTAGGCCCCCTTGAGGGATGTCCGACTGCCTGTTTAGGCCTGATCCCACCAGGGAGTTGGACATCCCTCTCACAATCCAGGACTGCTGGCTCCCAACTGCTCACCTGCCTGCCTGCCTGACTGATTGCCCTTAACCACTCCCCTGCCAGCCTGATCGATGCCTAACTGCTCCTCTGCTAGCCCAAATGCCCCTAACTTCCCTCCCCTGAAAGCCTGGTTGCCCCCAACTGCCCTCCCCTGCAGGCCTGGTTCCCCCCAACTGTCCTCCCCTGCAGGCCTGGTCACCACACTGTCCTCCCCTGCAGGGCTGGTCCCCCCAACTGCCCTCCCTTGTAGGCCTGGTCCCTCCCAACTGCCCTTCCCTGCCGGCCATCTTGTGGTGGCCATCTTTGACCACATGGGGGTGGCCATCTTGTGTGTTGGAGTGATGGTCAATTTGCATATTGCTCTTTTATTAGATAGTTTACTAGAAGCCCAGTGCATGATTCAAAATTGCACAGTGCCACCCAGCCTCGAGTCACTGGTCCAGCCCTGCCTTGCTCCCTGGGTTCTGCAGTAGCCGCAACCACTGCCAATCCAGCCCTGCCTCCCTCTCCAGCCCTTGAAAAGCCATGGCCACTTCTAATCAGGCCCTCCCCCAGCGGAGGCATGTGGAGGCCTCTGCCATCCCACCCCTGATGCTGCGTGCGCAACCTGCTCCTGTCTGATCTACCCGTTATGACATCCTGGTTAATTAGCATATTTCTCTATTTTATATATACTAGAGGCCCGGTGCATGAAAATTCATGCACTGGACAGGGAGTCCCTCAGCCCGACCTCCCCCCTCTCACAGTCCGGGAGCCCTCAGGGGCAGGAGGCGACTCAGCGATCAGGGGAAGGCGACCCTCCATCACACCTCTGCTGCTGCCACTGCCAGCAGCACAAGCCTCGGCCGGCCCCAGTCACCTGAGCCTTAGGCAGTCCTTGGTGGCTGGGCAGCTGCCATCTGAGGCTTGCCTGTGCCTCAGGCCGGCTCTGGGTGGTTGAGGGGCTGAGGGGAATGGGGGATTCTGGAGGCAGGCACACACATATTCCCTCCTTATTGGCTGTGGGTGCCACCATCTGTGAGGGCAGAGCAATCAATTAGCATATTCCCTCCTTATTGGCTGTGGGCGCCACCATCTTTTGAGATGGCATGAGTGTTAATTAGCATATTCTCTATTAGATAGGATATATATAGATTAGGAGCCCAGTGCACAAATTTGTGCACCTTGAAAGGAACTGTGGGCCGCAAGGCTGTGATAGGCACAGGGGAAGGTCTTGGTCCATCCTCCATGCCCCCGCCTGGCCCCTCCTGCTGTGGTCCCTGGTCACCTGTCTGCCAGCAGCCATGCTCCTGCTTCCGCCACTCCCACACGCTGATGGCATCAGCCCCGCTGGCACCTGCTGACTGCGTGGAGTGATTGGGGCCAGTGCCAGCAGTTGTGTATGAGTGGGGCCAGTGCCATCAGCAGGTGCAAGCAGCGGCTGCTGCCCCGATTACCCCTCAGGAGCAGGGGGAGGTGGAGAAGCCCTTAGGGGCAATCAGGGCTGGCAGCCACCGCTCACACCCACTGATGGTGCCGAGCTATTGGGACCAACGCCGGCTGCAGGTGCAAGTGGGGCCAACAGTGGAAGTGGGTGTGAGTGGCGGTTCCAGTGAGTGGCATTCACAGGTGCGAACATCAGGTGGGACCGTGGCACGTGGAAGCAAAGAATTTTCAGTAACCACCAGAGGCTCGACCAATGACAGCAACCAACACCCCACCTTGGTCTGGCACACCCACTCACCTGCTCCACCATCCCACAGCGCCAATGCCTGCCATGTTCCACATATGCCCCCTGGTGGTCAGGGCACATCATAGCAACTGGTTGTTTGGTTGTTCAGTTGTTCTGCCATTCGGTCTATTTGCATGTTAGCCTTTTATTATATAGGACAGATTATTGACTATATTCCCTATGCTGTACTTTATAAATCAGCAATTTGTACTTTTTACTTCTTTCATGTTTTACTGTGCAGCTACTTTCAATGCTTTGTAAATTACAAATATCTTTATTAGCAAGATAATATTTTGTTTCTAATTATTTTGAATTGCACATTTACTTACAGAGCTAAGGTGCCCTTGTAAAATGCCTTTGAGTGAGAATATTTCAGATTGCCAGGGAAGCCCAAGTAGGACAATGAGTCTCCTCTGTTCTCTAGGAGGATATTATTTCTGGGATCCTGGGTCACAATAGGGGGAAGTATAGAATAGAGAAAAAAACAATAGGAGATGCTTGTTGTAGTTATAATATCTCCATATTAACCCATGACTTTTGAAATTTTACCTATGAACTAGGTACTAACTTGAGCATAAACATTGCAGGAGTGCAGTTGAATCAGACTAAAGCCAAAGCAAAGATGGTGTCAATCCCAGAAGTATCAAGACAGCATCTAGCTAGCACATTACTTTCCCATAAGACAACTGAAATGTACCTAAAATCAGAATTTATCTGCATCTGAGTTCCTATTTTCAGATCTAAGTCTAATATGTGAACTAAAGAGAACTAAAAAGAAAGGAGAAAGTAGAAAGCTTTAGTGATTCTAACAATATTCTGTTTTTTTGGTCCGAATCCTGGTTACTGGGAATTTTTTTAACTAGTTGTATACTTTATCACTTAAGCATTTTCTATATGTACATGGTGTACATGACTCACCTAAAGAGGAGCTAAAGTGAAAAAGATTCACAATACTAATAGCAAGTACCTGTTTGAATGTCAAATAACTACAGCTGTCACTCACTGACAGAAGTCAGAATTGATGTTCAGCTTTGGAAAACTAGATGGCAGTTATCTGTTATGACTGTCCCTAAAATTCCATTTTTAGTTTTGTGCCCAATAGAAATGAGAAAGTATGTACGCCCAAAGCTTGTACAAAAATGATCAATGTAGCATTATTTAGGATTTGACAAAAAATATATAGTATGATTGTTCATTGGAATATGACACAGCAAAGAGAAAGAATAAGATAGCATCCCATGCAACAGCCTGGAGGAATCTCATAAACATAATATTGAATAAAAGAATACAGCTATGAAAGGTTGAAAACAGAATGATTTTAATTCTGTATACTTTATAAAAACACACAAAACTGTGTCATATTGGCATTGATTTGTGCTTGGGCCCACAGATAGTCTCTGAAAGGCTTGTGGTTTTCTGGGTTTTGCTCAAGGCTTGGATGTGGGAACATTTTAATTTTCAAAAATTTACTTAAAAAAAATATATATATATATATCAAAAATATATACCAAACTTTAAAAGGTTTTCTAAAAACAAAGACTAGCTATATATATCTACACTAATAAAAGAGAAACATGGTAATTGGCGTATGACCGCTACCCTTACCATTGGCTAATCAGGGAGATATGCAAATTAACTGACAGCCAAGATGGCGGCCAGCAGCCAGGCAGCTTGAAACTAACA